AAATTCTAAATAGTATTTAATTTTCATAGTGGGAACCATATTGACATTTCACCCTAATGACACCAAAGAGATTACAATATTTGCAATAGAGTTATTAGTCAAATTCACAAACCAGCCGATTTCAACATCATGCTAAAAAGGAATTCACCATAATGATTTACATAATCTAAGAGAACTTACTGCATTTCTTGTAGTAAAGAGTTTTGTAGTATTTATCTAAATATATTCCACCTGTATTCTATGTATTTTTTTTATTTAGTTTGCAAAAAAATCCTAAATTTTCAGATTAAGTAATTGAATTTTAAATCGTATAAGCAATTATTCAACTTTCCACAAAACCCTCAAACTGAAAAAGTAATAAATTTCAAGTTTTTAATGTAATAAATCCAGATGTTCAGGGAAAACCACAAGTATCCGACGTTTAATTAAAAGGGATTCTTGAATATTTCACTGACACATACATCCTAGTGTTTGTCATCCATAGCTTCTAATTAATAGTGGCATAGTTTCCATATCTATTAACAATATGATTATAATAGGATATCTTAAAAAATAACAATTATTTACAATATAATTGTAAGACTAACAGGCCTCAATAAGTCAATACTTTACCACATTATTGTATGTGAGTATTAATATTTTGTATCTTAGAGGCTATACATATTAGACAAATTAAAAATAGCTCTCCATGTTTCACATTCATTTATTACAAAATATATATTTTCTTAACTTTACTTAATATGAAATTAACAGATGTGAAATTTAAAACATGTATAATTTACTTTTCAACCTAAAGAAGGAAGGAACAATATTGAATATTTTTAATATTTCATCACCCGTATAATCTCAATTACTATTAAATTAAAATTTGATATACACATTTTTACTTTGCTACTGTTTTGACATATCATTGTAGGTCTTTGTCAGTGTTTGATTTATGTTCAAGTTCAAACAAACGATTATTAATCAAATCCTTCAAATTAACAAGATTCTCTAGTTGTCTAATACAAAAACCAGTGAAGGTTCTTTACTATAAAAGATCATATATCAACACATAACCAAAGTTCGATGTTCCACTCATTTGCAAAGGTAAAAGAATATATGAAATTAATAAGCCTAACGCAAACAAAATCTAATTGGAGGAGTTCAATAGATTACAAAAGGAACCAAAAACGTTGTACAGGTTGCCAGATTAAAGTGAAGTTGTACATACCAAAACATTTCACTCAGTATCACTTAGTTATCATTTTACCTTGAAAAAGTATCAAGTATAAAATAAACCTTTAAAAGGAATAAAATATTATTACTTTATTGGGACATGATTACCTTCTATGTTAAAGTAATAGGAATGGAATTATTTCTTGTAACTTTAATTCTACCATACACAAGAGTAAAACTTCAAGTCACAAATTTCAAGAGACGAAATACAAAGAATAACCCAAGCAATCAGCAGCTGACTAAGAAAAGCTTAAATGTGAGTAAATTAATTAACTAAATTGTGCACTAGAAGTGATAAGATTCATAAGACGAAATGCAGCTGACGGTGAAAAGCTTAAGAGTAAATTAATTAATTAATTAATTAATGAAATGAGACAGACTGCCTATATTATAAATGCACTTTTTTTCAATACTTTTTCAACACTTGTTTCTTGACGGTGTTAAATTCTCGCGGATAGAATGTGAAATAAAGAATCCTAACTGGAGTTAGGAATTTGTCTTGCAATTACTTACCTACAAAACCAAATAGCTCAGCGTTTAGCTCCGGAGTAATAGAAGAATTCTACGCCTGCATACTCATACTATATACTCTTTGGTCTGCATAGGATTACAACCAAGAGGACTGGAATAATGAGTTCGCTCCTGTGTTTCCCTTTTGTTCTCTCTTTGGTTTCCGCATCCCTCACTACATCACAAAGCGGTCAGTGTTGCTAGATGTGTTTAGAGGGATTCCGCCATATTCTTTTCAGTTTCCACCGCTGAACTGGTTTTAAATTTCCCGCCTAAATCCCCTAAACGTAAAATAAATTCTTTTTCCACATTTAAATGTTGTATTAATTTATTCTATTAAAACAAAAATATGATTGTGAAATATAGTGAGTTTATTGAACCTGCAATTCAATTTTTAGATAATATAGTAGCATTACTTGGGTGTATATTTGCACAATAATTACAATTGATTTCAGGTATTATATAATTTATTATATAAGTATTATATTATTTATTCTTGTAGTATAACATGGATTTAGAAATTTTAAAAATATACATCTGTGCAAAACAATTTATTAATAAAGGTTAACAGAAACTGATACTTAACTAGTTTTACTGCTTAACTAACTTTATTGATTTCCGCAGTTTATTCCGCTGTCCGCGAAACTATTTTTTTTCCTCCCTACGAGTTCAAAATTCGCTGAAAACTGCGGGAATTCCGCGAATATAGCAACACTGCAAGCGGTTCAAGCGTTAACATACTAACGTCACATTCGTAAATGTATGCTCGAAGGCCAAATCATATTACTTTGATTTTCCGTCACTCAAAACGATAATTGAAAAAAAAAGATCTGGAGAACATTACAAACAATATTACTTTTATATTGCATTTTCCACAGATTTTCAAATGAGAAAATCTTTGTGGGATATGGACTAAATACCATCGTTAGTATTATTATATCCGTTAGTAATATTATATCCCCACCTTTTCTGCAGTTTTCACGACCTCTGAGCTAACTTCACCCTCTCTGCTACTAGAAACAGTCGAATAGCGTGAATCGCAGTAACCACTGTCGACATTACAAATACAAGGAGCGTGAAAATTAGAACCATTTGACGTGCGCTTCACACCGCATTAGACAGTGGATTGTTTTAGTTCGTGGAGTTTAGAATTTAAAATAATTAATAGTGAAAATGGCAGAGTTTCGACAAGATCCCTCACAGGAGCTACCTCGAACTCTTCCCAAACAAGTGCGTAGGACATTTCATAGAGGAAAAAGAAAAATAATAGCCACAGCTGCGAAGATGTGCGAAATTGAAAAAGAGACACATTCATTATTTCATAACATTCCCCAATCATTGACACGGGCGTCTGCTTATACAAGGGTTACTAAATCCACTATACAGAGGATAAATGCTGAAAAATCAAGAAACCCTTATGATACTCCAGAAACACACAGCAAAAAGAGGAAACTTATATGTGAAATTTAAACGCGTTTTCTTCAGCTCTGTAATCTTCTTACATTTAATCATAAATCTTCAGATTTGTACACAGTTATTGGAATTATCGTTTCCGAAACAGTTATAATCGTAGGCGTAATTGGGTGACAAAACTCGCCCATCTGATAATTTGAAATAAAAAGTTATTTCAATGGTCGTATTATTATTATTATTATTATTATTATTATTATTATTATTATTATTATTGGAGTATATAAACAGGCCTAATAATGAATACTCAACATTAATTCATACAATATTTATGTGCAAGTAGTTGTAAATCTATTCAAGGAGAGTAGAAAATGCGCTCATATTGAATGTATACTACAACAATACAATCAAAGTGATGACAGAGGTTGGTAGTATTTAAACTCTGGTGGCCACGGTCGTAACCAATTCCCCCACTCTGTATTTATTTATTTACGTCAAAAACAATTAAAACTCTGTATGATGTGCTATAGGGAGACGTTAATTTGAAGTTACATTTATGTCCAGGAGCAAAACATAGGACCATCTCAGCATTTGCTCGAGGATTAGGGGAACTGGACGAAAACCTGATCGAAATGGGGGTCATTGACCCACAAGCTTAAGTACAATACTTGTTACGTGTTCTTTACAATTATACAATCCAAACGATATATAATACATTCAATGTCATTTTAAAAATTAATATTACTTTCCTTTTGGATGCTCGGTATAGTCTCTAATTGTGTAGACACAGTTGAGCAGCAGAAAAGATTGTACTTGGGACTTAAATGTTTGTATCGAATTTAATCGTTTAATGTCATCTGGCAAGGAAATGTAAAATAATGTACATGTTATATGTGATTTTTTTTGTAGTGAGCTGTTTATACTGTTACCTGATGAATGTGATTACTACGTCGAATGTTATAGTTATAGACAACGGCGTTTGCTGAAAATATATTCCCGCCCTTAAGTCATTTTTGACAAAAAACACTTATTCATATATGAAGAGACAAGGTAATAGTAAAATGCCTAGGTTAATAAAGAGAGGCTTACAAGAATCACGTGGATGGGATTAGCTTAATATTCGTACAATTGTTTTTTGTAATCTAAAAGTCTGGGAGCTATAAGATGTATTTCCCCTGAATATTATGCCTTATCTCAGGCAGGAATGAACATTCGCGAAATATACACAATGAGCAGCGTGGAGGCTGACTGAACTTGAAAGAATTCTGAAAGCATAGCATAAAGAACTTAATTTAGTGTTCAATTCATTTAAATGGACGTTCCATTTAAGGTTTGACTGAATTGAAAGACCTAAAAACTTTGTTACCTTAACATCAGTCAATGGCAAGCCGTTCATTTTCAGTGAAGTGTCGAGCTGTTTATTTGAAATGGAGAACTGCATTAATTTGTTATTACGAAACCGATTTGAAATATCTGATATTTTACTAACAACAAGCGGATCAAGAAAACGTGCGGGTATAAAATGCATCCATTAATATATCCACCATGTGTACAGCCATGGTAGAAATGCATGGGTGAGAGTCTCGATATATCGAGGTGGTCTTGGTACATCTGTCGTTGCAAATAATTCATATTACCGATATATTGGTTCACTGACATCGATGAAGGATAGTGATGGTTACAGGGAAAAACTAGGTAAGTCATAAAGCAACTTATTTAGATATTCCCTGAAACTGTTAAAGAGAGAGGAGAAAACAAGAGGCATTGATTCTAAAAAGGAATTAAATGATGGGAAATTAAATTTGCTGTCGTGTGGGTTTATCTATATTGGAATATAAATATATTAATGATATCGTTGGCAGATGTATCCGAGAGAAACAGGGGGAAAAGGGACATTGGGAAAATTATTCCTTAGTTGAATCAGAAACTAAAGAAAATACACGTAATTTTTCTAAAGAAAGTGAGGAAAGTCCTCACAAATTTCTAACTACCAAAGGATATATTTTCGTTCATGTTTGAAGCAAAGAACTGCCAACTTTACACAAAGAATTCATCAAGTGTACATTTTTAATCGATAAATATAATATCAAATGAAAACAAATCGTCTAAACATTATAAATTATGCATTAAATGACGTCAATAACTGACTGAACTAGTGAGCTTTCAATAACACGCAACATTCATAATTTAAGTTGCAGCTAGTCAGACGAGGACAGGATATTGCCATTTCCCTCAGACTGCTTCAGTCGCCGCGCAGCGCTCTACTGCGTTCTGAAACCCACCCATTTGGTTGCACCACCAATAGGCGCCTGTTCCCCGTGTTAAAAAAGGGGCAAAAAATAAATTCATTAAACCTAGTATTTATAGTAGTAGTAAGGTAGCAAGGTTATTTAAACCAAGAGTCAAGAGCATGGGGAAATATCTGGCAAGGCACCAAACACCAGAGAGAGCGCCAGTTGTACGCACTTCGGTTTAAAAACGATTTCATATACACCAGTATTGGTGAACATCTTGAATGTCATTAAAGGAAAGGGTATATTCCTAAAATATTATAAGATCTTCCACGATTATCTGGGGGTTGTGCACCCATGCAACCTAATAGGAGCCGTAACTGCTATTGAGCTGCTATCTACGCAAATCCCTTTCAACTACATCAATTTGTCATGGGAAGAGGCAGATGTCTCACGTCAGAAACGGCAAGGGCACATAGAGGAGAGATACAACTCAACTCTACTCTACTCTATGGGCTCATAGAGGAGAGATTCTCCCTACACTATGCAAGGGCCAGGACGTGTCAGCCGAGGACAAATCAGTAGGTGAACGATATAATTTCGCAAAATGGGTCGGTAGACGTCCGTGTAAATGGGCAAGCCCAACTGACTTTTCATTATTCCATCACAAGCTGGCGCATGTAATATAATTTGTTGTTTCGGTTTCAGTAGTTAAATCAATTGACATTTTTCTTTCAAATGTATGGAAGAAATACTAATAGCACCTTCCAAAATTGCATTTCTCTCTCCTTCTCAAACCTTTATATTTATTAAAAAAGTAAAGACCATAAAAGCATCTGATTTGACAATATTAATAATAATACAAGTAAATAAATAAATCTTTAGCGTGTCTAACTGCATTATTTAATGTTGCACTTAGACTTGGTTATTTTACACTTCCATGAAAGTTGGAAAGACTATGATTAAGACTACACCATGATTATTTTCATTTACCTGAAAACAATAGACCTATTATCCTCTTATTCCATATATCCAAATTATTTGAATTAATTATTCTTAGAAAATTAAATATTTTACAGATATAAAAGCAATTCCAGACACACAATTTGATTTTCGATGTAATCGTTCTACTTCTCATTAATACGCTTAAAAGAATTTATAGCAAATGCTTTTCATTGTAAAAGACACATTGCTGCTATATTTTTAGATGTAGAAAAAGCCTTTGATCAGGTGTGGCATATTAGACTTTTACATAAATGGAAGCTACTAGGAATTACTTTCAATTCTTTTAATCACTTTTTTTGAAAAAACAGAAGCTTATGCACGTCAAAATTAATCGATTCTTTCTAGACAATATTACGTCCAAACCCGACCGTTCCACAAGTTCCTTTATATACCACCGCTTCTTATCAAATTATTATATATATATATATATATATTATAGTATATTATATATATTATATATATATATATATAAATCCCCGAGCGAAGTGCTCAGTGCGTATGCGCGCAGAATTCGTAATCGGAGTAAGTACATAATATTAAGTTGATGGATGACTACATATTGCTTAATAGAAGTAATATGAATTGGCAGAATACTTCAAGGTAAGAATTAAACTAACTTCATTACGGTTGCAATGTCTGTCTGTCTCTCTGTGCTTGTTATCTCTCTGTGCTTAGTCTGTCTCTCTTGCTGTCTGTCTCTCTGTGCTGTCTGTCTTCTGTGCTTGTCTTCTCTCTGGCTTGTCTGTCTTCTGTGCTTGTCTGTCTCTTCTGTGCTTTCTGTTCTCTCTGTGCTCTGTCTGTCTCTTCTGTGCTGTCGTCTCTCTGCTTGTTCTGTCTCTCTGTTTCTTGTCTGTCTCTCTTTTGTCTGTCTCTCTGTGCTTGCTGTTCTCTCTGTGTCTATGACTGTCTCTCTGTGTTGTCGTCTCTCTGTGCTTGACTGTCTCTCTGTGTGTTGTTCTGATCTCTCTGTGTTCTGATCTGTCTCTCTGTGTTGTCTGCCGTGCTGCTCTCGTCTTGCTTGTCGTCTCTCGGCTTGTCTGTCTCTCTGTGCTTGTGCTGGTCTCTCTGTGTTTGTCTCTCTGTGTTTGTCGTCTCTCTGTGCTTGTCTGTCTCTCTCTGCTGTCTGTCTCGTGTCTCTGTGCTTGTCGTCCTCTGTGCTTGTCGTCTCTCTGTGTTTGACTGTCTCTCTGTGTTTGACTGTCTCTCTGTTTGACTGTCTCTCTGTTTGTCTGTCTCTCTGTGTTTGTCTGTCTCTCTGTGTTTGTCTCTCTGTGTTTGTCTGTCTCTCTGTGTTTGTCTGTCTCTCTCTGTCTGTCTGCCTCTCTGTGTTTGTCTGTCTCTCTCTGTCTGTTTGTCTCTGTCTCTCTCTGTCTGCTTGTCTGTCTCTGTCTGTCTGTCTCTCTCTGTGTGTCGTTGGCTCGACAGCCCGCAAAAGGGCCAACAGCGTCCTGGCCATGGGTTTAAGAGGTACGTGTGTTTAGCACGAAGACATCCCTATGCCGTATTCCGGTCTTCTCAACCCAAGAAGTAAATTTTCTCATCGTCACACAGCAACATGTACTGGGACATTTTAAGGAAAACGCACACTATAATATTGCCCGACCGGGAATCAATCCCGGGGTCGCCGCGAATGCGAGCACGCTGACTAGAGTTAAACCGAGATGGCAGTAATAATACACATTTATTAAATTTGTTCAACCACCAGATATTCATGTTTAAAAGTTTATTAGCAATATAAATTCACCACAAAATACAATATAAAATCTCAAATAACATACATTGTACTATTTCTGCAATTTTAAGTCAGTTATTAAGTCAAGTAAATTTTAGTACGAAAATGCACTGCTTTTTTAGCATATCTCATTGTGAACATTAGAAATACTAGAATATTATTAAGATAACAATTTTAAATATCACAAAAATTTCTTCAAAGATAACTTTTAAAAATATATTTTTATTTGCTCAAGTGATTCATCAATTTGTTTACACGGAAACGTTGTGATATACATGCGTATATTTTGTTAACAACATGTGTTATTTTGTTTAACTGTACCCTGAATTCACGATTGTTCACTTGTTAAATGTTCTATTTTGCAAAACATTTTAGTTCAAGCAAGTTTTATAAACATTTAGTAGTGAAAATAACGTTTACATTTAATAAGAGCGAATAATGAAAATTAAAAACAAATTTCGCATAACACTTTTAAACGTCAATAAGTGAACGTAATACACAAGATAAAACATTAATTTTCTACTCCAGAAAACAAAAAATTGAAAAAATTTTTAGACATGAACTGAATTTTTTTAAAAATCCGTTGTTTAATGCAATTTGTATATTTTCTTTTGCAATTGAAAGGCACTTAAATTATTAATTGACCGCCACAGTAATTCATTACACCGCATATGAAAAACCACATCCCATTATTCCACTGCACACTTGACTTGTCCTGGCAACTCTGAGCAGGATACTGCTTCCCGCTTCATGTTATTGCTATGTTAAGCAGTCAAGATACGACCGGATCTGGAGCGACTTCAAACGGCGTCCGGTTCTAGCAACCTCCGACCCAGGCCTGAGGTCTCTTCTGGCGCCGGCCTCGACCTGCGCATCCAGAGGCGGATTTCTGAATCGGGAAACCCAAGCACGTGTCTGGGGCGGCAACATTTCGCTGAAACTTATTATTGTAGATAATGATGTTTGGTGAATGTTAAATTAAGTATAAAAATAACTTTATCTACAATTTTATGTTTTTTAAAAAAAATTTGCAGCTTTGAAAAAGAATTCGCGGTAGCATTTGCTCCAGTTTCTTCAAAGGACTGACATTTATACATTATTTCCAAATGTTGAAATCACCTTTCGCATGAGTATGTGTGTGTATACACCTGTTTCAAATTGTTCAGCTGAAAGATCGTTTTGAAGCGTGTAAAAAACCAGTTAAGGTAAACATTGCGCGAAATAGATTAAATTCACTTTCCATTTTAGCACGGAAGCAAATCGTTTACTTCATATTAGTGGGCGTATATCCTGGGGCTACGGTCGCATGAGATCCTTTGAACTAGAAGACAACGCAATGTCAAACGGATCATATTCTTCCAACGTCCATCTCAGGGCTTGAGGTTGTTTCAGGCAGCGGCCGCGAGGAGCGCACGCACCGCTTTGTCACTGTCACAGGGCACACCACAGCGCTGAGGAGTCCCGCTTCCTTACTCCTGGGGCTATGACGCAGGAGATCCTTTTAACTAGACGAGAACGCATATCGGAACGGGTTGGGACTGAGGTCGCAGGAGATTTCGTATACCAGAAGAAGTTGCAAGGTCAATCGGGGTCTTGCCCCCACAACTGCCTTTCCATGATTTGAGGTCCCTCCTGGCGCCGGCCGCGAGCAGCGCGCGCACCGCTTCCACATTGTCGCACACCGTCGCCCTGTGAAGAGGAGTATCTCCGTCTTTATTCCTCGCGTTGATGTTGGCGCCCGCACGCACCAGCAGCTCCACGCACCGACCGCTGAAGTCCTTCATCGCAGCGAAGTGCAGCACGGAACTCCCTCCTCTGCAGGTGATGGCGTTCGCGTCGGCGCCTCGTTGGAGAAGAAGAGCCACCATGTCCACGTCCGCCTCCCAGGCTGCATTAATCAGAGGAGTGTAACCATCTCGATCTGTGTAATTGACGTCCGCGCCAGTGATTAGGAGACGTTGTGCGACACTTAGT